ACCATCGAGCGTGTCATACGTTTTCACTCCCTTAGGGTATATTTACCCTGGGGTCGAAATTCCCTGTTTTAGGCGTAATTTTCTTCGACTTTGTCCAATACACGTAAAATTATAAAAGCTCTATGGCAAGAAGGACAAACGAGTTATTTATATACCTTAAAACTCTTTTACATCTTACAACAGTCTTTTTTACATAGCATAAATAATTATTTTGTTTTGATAAAGAGCCAGTTGCTAAGAGGGAATTATGTGTTAACAATTACTCAGAGCTATCTGTTTTCATTTTTGAAGATAAAAATAGTTGGCGCTACAATAATCAGTGATTTAGTGAAAAACTATATCTTAGTCTAAAGATGTTCAAGGCTTAGACATTTTTTTTTCTTACATGTCAGGAATGTACATTGTTTATCGGAAAAAAGAGAGGTCAGAGGGCTTGATCCTTCTTTTCCCGTGTACTGTAGGCCTACATGTAGGCAGGTAATATAGACATTTCCGGAGAGTATTAAAACGGTTTGAATTAATGTAAAGCTAGTCCGCATTCCGTTTGATTCGTGTTTTTCTTACGTCGTCAAAAAAGAGGGGTGTGCATGTGGGCTGCTGTGGGGGGGGGTTGCATCAGGTATGACATGTTGGTGCATGTGGGCTGCTGTGTTCTTCATACTACTGACGTCAGACAGGCCTAGCCACACAAGGTCCAGCTCCACCACCTCGTCCTCGACCCCGGGAGCAAGGGGGACTCTTGGGGGTGTCTCATCTACCTACAGCGATAAAATCACTAGCAAGACCCCTTATCGCTTACTACCCTCCTCGCCGAAGTCTGTTGCCGATCCACACTATCTGCCGACAAGGTACTACTGTCAAGGTACTAGTAAGTTTCTCCTCGCCTCTCTTAACCCTCAGCCATCGCTACCAAGTCTGATCCACGCCTACCTGTATTATGTCTGCCCTGCTGCGTGCTGACCACACACGCCTGTGCTAGCATCCTGACGAAGTCGCTGACGATATGTTTCCACAATCTACGCTGCTACCTTCGCCAGTTCGGCCCGCCTGCCTCGCACATTCTTCGCGAACCCTTGTCAACACAACCTGTATCCACCCATACCTTACATACGAATTACCTTCTTACAAAGTCATGGTACATGCCACTCAATGAACACACTAATTCTATATTACAAAACTTCTCTCTGTCTACCAGTTTTACAGCACAACAAACAAATGAAGTCACACACTGAGATCAGACCTAAGTGACACACAAACTCAATACACACCTCTTTCCCCTGCCCTAATAATTCCTTAACTGATGTATTGTTTAACTTTTTTCTGTCTATTATCATTTTTGTCCTCACATTGCACATTTTTGTTTATCTTACTGTCTCTCAGAACAAATAATTACGTTAAAGTTTATTTAATTATTGTTAATTTTTTCTCGTGTATGTTATTCATGTTTATCATTTTCGAATTTATAAAATTACCTATTCTTCATCTTTATATAATATGCCTACTAGTAATTACATCATTACTATTTGCGTCTTCACTTGTATTCTGTGAATACATATATAGCGTTGTGTTTCTTTGTAACATCATTACTTTTTCTTTTACTTCCCCCGCTTCACGAAATTCACTCTATTGTTATGAAATGTAATAAGTGCCATCCCTTATGTTTATATCTGGTTCTATTTCGTTAATGACTTCCACTCGAAGTTCGATATCTCGCCCTCAGTTATGCTGGAATTTACGCGTCCTTGGAGTTATGCTCAGATGAATATGTAATATGTGACTAACTGATGTTAGTCTCTCCATTTGTAAATAATGGCAACATATCGCTTACATAGCTATCATTAAGTTATTGGCCATAAATGAAGGAATCCTGCGCCTAGAAGTTAAGCACGATTTACACACGCGATTGACGTGCCCGAGACTGTTAGTATTATTGTAAAAAAATCTATCATAACTGACTTTTAAGTTCAGTCCCAGATGCCTCTATGTGTTCGAAGCATAAATACATGCCTATTTAGCCCAAAGATATGGAATTCTTGTCCAAATATTTTTTCTCTCTACAAATCGCTAATCCTGACTGTGAAAAATACGTAGCAAGACCGGATGGCAGATTCACACCTCGGTCCAAGCAAATGCCTTTCTCCTTGCGCAGGATGCAGGTGCTGCCCTCCTTTCTCTTTTCACACAGGAATAAACATCAGCCCTCCAAGGAAACCGCCGCATAAAAGGGCACGTGCCTAAGACACAAGGGAACACAGAGACACGGCAGACAGGTCAAGCCACAAGGGTTCAGCTCCACCACCTCGTCCTCCACCCGGGGACACGGGGTCTCATATCTACCTTCAGAAATAAACCAGCAAGTTAAGACCCCTTCCATTGACCGCCCCAAGACCATCTCTGTTACGCTTACATCTAGTGGCTTGCGTGGTCACTTACGCTTACATCTGATGGCAGCGGTGATCAAGAACCTCACAACGCCTTACGCTTACACTGACACCTCTTCACTTGACGCGTTACATTTCTTATCACTGTTTTATATTACGCTCTCCTTATTCTGGCATCTTAGTAAGGTCATTGAAAAACATATCTTCATCTTCCTCCTTAGCCCTTTTACTGGCCTGGTACAATTCAATCCCAGCCTCTGAAAGCGATGTGACCCTCCTTGCTACTGAATGTAACACCTCAGTGTGAAGTCTCCCACTACTCTGGCACGTGACGCCCCAAGCGACCATCGGATCACCAGGAACCATCTGTAGGTGCCGAACAGAACATATATCCCTACGTGTTTATTGCAGTGTTTCAAGTGTTGCAGACAAGCTCGAAGACAAGCCTTGTGTGTGTGTGTGGGGGGGGGGGGGGGTCTCACATCTACCTTCAGCAATAAAACCCCTAACAAGACCCCGTTCATTCACCTGCACTAAAACCACTCTCTCGTTGATAGTGTGTGTGTGTGTGCATTATATATATATATATATATATATATATATATATATATATATATATATATATATATTGATTGATTGATTGATTGATAGCCAGATAGAGAGAGAGGCCGACAGACAAACACACGCAGAAAGAAAGAGGCAGAAACAATTATCATGCAACTGTGCTCAACCCATCACAAGTCTACAAGTGAAGTCGCAACCATGCAAACTAACTATACACACTGCACGATCACTTAAATTCACCAGATGTTCCATAAATAAACCTATTCACATCCACAGAAGTGTTGGGATCGATTCTATAGTTCAAAGGAAATGAGGACACTTTCGAGTGAAATGAGCCTTGGGGTATATAGGTACCAAGGATCGTAATTACCTTGGTACTAACGAGGAACTAGGCCACTGGGGAATACAGGTGACTATACCTCGCATGTGCCGAGGAACCGGGGGAGCCTCCGGGCTAGTACAGTGGTAACGTGTCGGCCTCTCATCTGAGGGGTCGGCGGTTCGCGCCCCGCCCAGGCGCGAGAAGTTGCAATTGTCGCCTGGAGGTTACTGCTGTGGCCGGGCACCACGGTGGGTAAGGACTAAGCTCACCCGAGTCAGCACCTGCTGACACACTGATAGCGAGTCGACATACGTCGGCACAGGCCGGGCTCCCCCATAGCCCGGGCGAGGTCCACAGCTTCGCATATCGGACTTATGGAACCGGGGGGAGCATAGGATACGTGGGAATACCGGTTGGAATCCCAGTGAAACATGATAATCGGTTCTATGACCCCTTTAACTCCCAGGGAAAAATGATCGATGTGACGAACTGGTTACTTTTATTTACATGTATGTGTTTGTGTTTATATGAATTCATAATATGGCTTAGTGGTAGAGCGCTGGATTTGCAAGGTCCTGAATTAGTGCTTGGTAGCCCCTTTCAGTCGCTTCAGCAAAATGTATTATTGGTTTGCTGACACCAGCATGCTGGGGTCAGAGTCGGGGCGGCAAGGACCTGGCTACCGTACCGCATCATCCACTGGCTTAGAGCGCATACATTTGGACACGTAAGCGTATGTATACATACATGTGCAGATAGTTGTACATGTCTGTTTTCAAGAACAGAGTAGAAATGGTGAGACATCATAAACAACCGTTTGAATCGGTGGCGGTTACGACCTGATTATAGCATTTAAAAAGTGCGTAATATTCGCGTTTATAATTAATTATTGAAAGTTTGTCCAAAGGAGCAAATATACAAAAAAAAAAAAAAAAATACCGACAGTGCTTGCCTTCTCCTAGCTAATAATAAGCCAAAAGTCAGATTTACGTTCTCTAGTAACTCATTGAATGCAGGTGTTCCCAGTATGCCCATTCTGTCGTACATTTCAACATATGTATACATATATTTGATATACATTTGTGTTTGTGTGTATATATATAATATTATATATATATAATATAATATATATATATATAATATATATATATATAATATATATATATATATATATATAATATGATATATATATATAATATGATATATATATATATAATATGATATATATATATATAATATGATATATATATAATATGATATATATATAATATGATATATATATATAATATGATATATATATAATATAATATATATATATAATATAATATATATAATGTAATATATATATAATATAATATATATATATAATATAATATATATATATATATATATATATATATATATATATATATATATATATATATACAGATAGATAGATAGAGAGAGATAGGTTCTTGAGAATATACACATCGAGTCATAAAGGTAATATGCAAAATCAAACTAAGTCCTGTTGAAAAAAGTTTGAACCCTGAAGGGTACCTCAAAGATATCGGCCAACTTTAGACGCATTGTAAAGCTCAAAACAAGAAAACGATGAGAAACTGACCAATAACACGCTCTACGCTTAACCTAACGCTGTGATTGGCTGTTATATTTAGCGCTCTGATTGGCTGCGTCGGAATGAGTGGCCCAGCGCACGTGGGGGGGAATTTTTTCAATCAGTTTCTCGCTGGTGCTCATGGAGGATAGGTCATGTTAGTTGTTACTTCTGTGATAAAAGACTGTGAAGTGTTGTGAAGTGTTATCCAGACAGCAGACTGTATACTAGCAGTTTCGTGGTAATGCTAAGTAAGGTAAGTTGTTTTGCCATACATTAGATTATTTTCAAAGATTTATTTAGAAATACTTGGCAATTGCATGTTATCAGTTTAAGACAATTCGATCTTGACCCATAATGAAATATAACAAACTAGCGTAAAAAAATAGTAAGTTTAAATAGACTTATCAATTGCCCTGGTAGCTGAAAAGTGTAACTGTAATAAAAATGCTTTTAACGTCGCCAAGGTTATTAAAGGGAGCGAAAGATGGGGGGGGGGTGAGAAGAGAAGGGAGGGAAACGAAGAGGAGAGAGGATTATTAAATCAGTACTAGGTTAGCCGCTATATATGTACAATCAGGGTAGTGTTATAGCTGTAGGCCTATATACAAAGTGTTCGTAGACGTTGACGAAGTAGAATTTTGGAGACGCCTTTGGTAATGGTGTAGATTCTAGTCCAAATATTGAGTATCCTCGTCCTTCACATCTTTCTCTCTATCATTATATATATATATATATATATATATATATATATATATATATATATATATATATATATATATGCATGTGTGCGTGCGTGTTTCTGTGCTTGCGTCTCCATCCATCTCTCTATCTATCTCTATCCCCTCCCTCCCCCCTCCCCCTCCCTCTCTCTCTTGTCTTGTCTTCTCATCTCATCTCGTCTCGTCTTTTTTGCATTCCCATTCCATATTCTCGTCTTCTCTCATTCTAGTTTTCATTTTCTCTTTCTCATTTTCATTTTCCCTCATTCTCATTTCTCATTTTCATTTCTATTATTTTTATTTTTCTGTCATGTTTCATTTTCTCATTCTCGCTCTCATTTTCTTTCATTCTCGCTCTCATTTTCTCTCATTCTCGCTCTCATTTTCTCTCATTCTCGCTCTCATTTTCTCTCATTCTCGCTCTCATTTTCTCTCATTCTCGCTCTCATTTTCTCTCATTCTCGCTTTCATTTTCTCTCATTCTCGCTTTCATTTTCTCTCATTCTCGCTTTCATTTTCTCTCATTCTCGCTTTCATTTTTTCTCATTCTCGCTTTCATTTCCCTCAGTCTCGCTTTCATTTTCTCTCAGTCTCGCTTTCATTTTCTCTCACTCATTTTTATTTATAATCATTTTCATAATCATCACTTTCGTTGTCTCATTCGCATTTTCATTCTCTGTGAACAATACATAGCAAGACCGGATGGTACGTTTCACACCTCTGTCCAGCAGCCCGGGGAGAGGATGCGGGAGAGACGGGGAGAGGATGATAAGTCTATTTAAACTTACTATTTTTTTACGCTAGTGTTTACAATATTATTTAGCTCGGATGGGCACTACCATGGTTACTGAATGGTTGTCTTCAAAATAAATTTTGCGACCGTTTTGATCTAACATTTTCACCGCTATTTCATCAGTGGAAGTTGATAGAAGAGGTTTGTAAATTATCCGATGTTTACCTCCTCTATATTCATCTAATGTAAAAGTATCCAATACGTTAACCATTCTAGATCCGAAACGTGTTGGAGCAACCTAATCGGAGTAAACCATTACATAATCAATACCGCTACCTTTTTTTAGGGGGATATGGAGCTAAATAAACGGATTTTCCGGTTGAAGGTTGACGGATCTGAGGAGTCGTAAATAAAATGTAGTCGGTGTCGGGGAGAAAGCCTAGTATTTCCGCGAGTTTTGTCCCGAATTTAATAGTAAACCTACAAATGACTTGATCTGGAGGACATTCACCTTCGTTATACAGAAGAGCTACGCGTGAAAGTCTTTTATCCCAGGTAATAATTTTTTCCCGAGGGAAATATGTACGAATAGAATCCTTTTAATACGGCTCTGATATCTTCAATAATGTGATTGTTAATGATTTCAATTACGTAGTTGATATCACCATTTAAAATTTTCTTCGATGGTTTATACCTATAAAAATCATATGCATAGTCTTCATCGAACTCATTTCGAATTACTCGAGCTGTGATTACTGCTTGGGATGTGGCAACATCAGGTGTAATAGCGTATATATTTCGAGGGTAGAGGATATTCACCAGGCTGATCTCGTATTCTAATGAGGGGTCTAAATGTAAAGGTTTAATTGCGTTTACGAAAGCGCTTGATGTGTTATTCGGGTATAACTCGGATGATGCGAGGGATGTTACATATATATAACCCTCTGTTTCCATCTTTGAAACAATGAATAGCATAAGGTAGGAGTGAGGTATTTATATTCCCTTACCTGTGAAGCTTCCATATACCTCCCACAGAGAGCAAGTGATATCAAGATGAAGATTAAAAAGAAAAGAGAAAACGCGTGTTATGTCGGTATCCAATCATCTTCTACGGTTGCGGGGGGGGGGTGTACTTTACCTCGCGGTGGTGTATGACGTCATCCACGAGGGTAGTTAAATGACTATATCAGAAGCTGAAGGTCATGGCACTCTCTCAGGAAGGTGTGACATCATCCGCGAGGGTGGCTATATCCGGGAGTAGGGGTTACGAGGGGGGGGGGTATATTGTAACGTACCCTGAAGGGTCCGATATCAAGATGAAAATTAAAAAGATTAATGAAGATTAAAATCCACGAGGGTGGCTATATCCGGGTCTAAGGTATAAAAAGCGTGGTAGCTTTCTATCTACTAATGTCATGCAAACAATATCAAAGTGCAAGTGTAAAGTCTCGGCTTTACACAAAGTGAAACACCATATATTACTTATTCAGTAAATTTCCCCATAAGAATATTACTACAATTACTTGTTCACCTAAGTGCAACACAGTTGCTTTGGGTGCAGATTCACTATTTAATCTGCACATTCGAGACCTATAATGGACACGTATAGTATGTTGTATATATAATATTCGCATGCATATGTCTGTTGTGTGTGTTAATAGACATTGATATATATATATATATTTTTTTTTTTGTCATGGAATCAATAATCTGACGAATCCTAATTTTACAATTTCAGGACCCTGTATAAATGAACGGCACAACATTGGTCACAGAGATGGGTTGGAATTCTCCAGAACAAACTCTTTTCTGCCAGCCGTCTTGGAGGGTCGTGGAGAACCGATATGGCACTACAGAAGACACATTATGTATGGAGAAGTGCATACCCATTAACAGTAACATAAAAGGGTTATGTACCTCTACCTCTACAAGTAACCTGGCTCTTCTTCGTGCAAAGGTAGACAAGAAACGCCAAGTACCGAATCATTCCCAACCGGTGAAAGACAATGGACACCGCATACCAGGAAAAGTCCCCGGGACCAAAGTCTTGTCAAGTGACAGAAGAGATACTTTAGATTCAAAGTTTAAAATCAAAAAGATATTCCTGAGGTGCTACACATGTCATAAGGAGTGTGTTGACAACCACTTTACAGAACACCTCTTCTTTGGAGAAGCGACATGTACAATGTGTGAACTGAGAGTTACTTCATGTGAACATTTTCGAGAAGAATCTTTGAGTAGCACCTGTTGTCACAAATTTAAGTTTAGCAGACCCTTCAAGTATCTATACAACAGAATATCATATAGCCTCAGTGGTAGGGACTGTGATAAAATTCAGTCTACTAGGGTTGCACTTAGGCTTTCGTCATACTTGTCTAAACTGAAGTCACTCAGAGGGAAGGATCCTTGGATGTTGGCCATTTCACAGTGCAAGAAAGGATTAGACAAGCTTCGGTTTCAAAAAATACTCCATATTGCTAATTCAAGCAAGAGGGAAAGTACAAATTTTAGTTCGGTGCTTTCTAGTAATGGACGTGCACCATTTACGAGTAAAGGTGTACCTATATCTAAGAAACCGAGAGACTCTTCAGTTACATCAGAATCCTACAAAATTAGCAACGCACCCAAATGTCCTACAGCTGAGGGCTCTTCAACACAGTCCTGCTTCACGGAAGGTAGCAAGCCAATGGTATCCTATTCACCCCGATCATCTCATGCGGTGCAGATGGAAGAGTCTGTGCCATCGTTGGAACCCAAACAACCTGAAATAATCATAACTGGGTTCCTGGATACCCCCAAAGACGGCTACTACTATGTGAGTCGTTGTGCCATTGAGGAGTGTCCAATGTGTTATGAAGAGCTGTGCCCCTCGAGATTCACCGTCAATGTCCAGACCTTCCTCTTGACTACAATATGCACTGGCTGTGGTCTCACCATATATGTGATATTTGATCCCCCCGATGGCTCAGTGCCGAAGGTGGCCATAGTAACGGAGAACCAGTTCCGTGAGACAAAACCTAAAGTGAAATCTCCGTACAGAAGAAAAAAAGAAAAGACTTGAAAAATTGGTAATGAGACAGTGTCCATATGAAAAAAAACATGTATATTTATATATAAAGAATAAAAAAAAATCCCTGAATTGAGATCTTTTGCTAACCCTGTAAATGTATTGGGTGTCTTTGACATAAAGTTTATTACAAGTAAATGCTACTTGTAACCCATAGTAATATCAGGCATTTAAAAATTATTGTGGAATACAAATGATCGTGTTTGTATATATGTATATTTTTGTATATATATAAACTTAAGGAAAAAATCATCATCTTTACTTTACCTGGATAAAAAAAATAAGATGAAATTTCAACAATGCAAAATATCCCAGATCAGATGCTCACCTCTAGTACTAATACCAGCTCCAGCTGCTTGTTTATGACTACATGCCTAGTAGAACCAATATAATTTAATTTTACTACAAAGTGGAGCATATGTCTGTGGTGCTACTACTGCTATGACCTTTGTTATATATCACATTTGGTTTAACTAAACCATAAACCATTATTACAGATTCCTTAAGGCCTGTTCACACAAGCAGTCATTATCGTTAGTTACACGAGCGGGCACGAATACAGATAACGTCAAAATTAGACAAACTACATGATAAATATTTTCCCAGTTTTCTCGGCTGTGACGTCATAGTTGTACGCCGGCCATGCCCGCTTGTATGGACAGGCCTTTAGCAATAACAAGGTCAGGAAAGTATGTTTACAGAGGCAACAACTGTACTGAAATTTTGCTACAGCTAGATGACAACTGGTGGCCCAATGTGATTTACTGAAACCTTAAATTGCACATCAAGAGGCTGAAAAAATAATGGGAAGCAGATCATCAAACATCCATTATAAATTTTGGACAGATAGCCTATACAACTCAATATTTCAATCAGATCTAGTTAATGAAGTACCTATATATTGATTATTTCAGATATAATCTTGGCCTCTCATTCCCTTTCCCCTTTTTTTGCTGCTTACTAGAGTTATGCTTACTCCAGCTTTCAGAAGTTTGTAAGCCACCAGGTTTGCAAGCTGTGGCTGAACCCTCCACCGAGATAGCAGAGCCACTGGAGAGGTAATAGTATTTAACAAAATCCCATTGGCTTCTATCAAGATATTCGTACCTGGCCATTAAATCCCCCGATTGCTACTGACTAGAGATAATGAAGAAATTTCAGAACATGATACATCTGCCCAGCATCGATCATGTTGGTATGGTATAGCAGTTCACCATAATGCAACTTGTGGTTGTAGAATCAGCCCAGGTGTAAGTAACTGCAGAAGCTATAGTAGGACCAGTCTCAGGGAAAAAAAACTAGCAACTCGCCCCAAAGCACTGGTGATACTTGTACTTGTACATGTGTTTGGATGAACACAAAATTATTCAAAGTTGAATGGGGAAACTGCCACATTCCTTATTGTGGCTGTTTTTCTTTTCCTGTGTGTGGATGTAAAGTATTTTGTTACTTTTTACTGAATATTGCTGCCTTGAACACAAAAGTTATTTTTGAAAGTGACTTGGACAACTCCAGAGCCCAGAGCAAGTAACCAGTTGTTCTTTACCCGAAACTGGACAGACTATAATTATCTAGCTTCAACATTGGAAATAGCCTTAACTATACAACATCCATAACCCCCAACAATAATATTGAACTCAAGAAATAACACCGAGATGTATGCACAGTCACAACAAATGAGACATATACAGCCCTATCCCTACTACATACTGCACTGTATAGGGTGTTGAAAAACAGCTGTTGGAAGGGTCATATCCACATTACAATTCCTAGGCATGGTTATCTAAAGACAGTTCTGAAATGAAGGCCATTGTTCATTTACTGGTTAGCCACTGAACTGTATCCCATTGTAGTTTAACAAACTTTAGGATCACATAATGATGAAGCTTGTGACAGTAGTGACACACCAACCTTCTACCAGAAGCTACCACTTAATTAACTACACTAGCACATTCCACTAGTCAACATAGTGAAACAACCACAACCCACCACGGAATCACAGTCCATCACACAATACAGCTATCTTCACTCAACCACACTGGAACGCTCCATCACATCTTAAATTCCCATCATACTGCCATACTCTTAACACTATCGCATTCCAACATTCAACCACGCTACCACCAGTCTACAGTGCTTCACCGCTCAGTCACATTCCACTATCACCATTCTCTGCTGCTCAACCACACTCCTGCACTTGTAGCCTGTTCACTTGACTGATAGCTGGAGTCTGCAAATGTTTAGAAGAAGGTTACCCGTTAGTGTATTCAGTGCTGAGGAAGATCCTGAATATTTTTACTTTTTATATATAATATATATACACATTTGTACATATACATATTTATATATATATATATATATATACAAGAAAAGAAAACGTCCGTGATATTGTACAATCTTATGACTATTTCATTCAGGATATACAAGATTGGTTAAGCATTATGATCACCAAATAGTGTTATTCCACATGCCCTTCTTTCGTTTTATTTCTGGGCGATAAAGTTAAAGCTTTTTTTTTTTTTTTTTACTTTATAAGACATCGCAACTCGACTAATAGGAAAGGAAGAAACTGGCAACTCAACCCGGATTCTGGAGCACTCCGATTCATCTTTCTTTATCTAATCAGCTGACAAGAGTGGTAGTAGTGGTTGTATTACTATCGAAATCTAGATAACTGGAAATGTTATTAGATTTCTATTAAGAAATAATCGCCGCCACCACCGCTGTTTTAGTAGAAAACAGGGAAAAATAGATTTCCTCCAAGTGAATTAATTATTTCAATAATATTAAAATCATAATTCCTGTAATGAAGGGATTCAGTAAACTAAAGTTAAAGTTTCTTTTGTTTTACTATTTTTAGTTTTACAGTTAAATTACATTAAGTCTATATTCTATTGATATACAATACATTTATATACAACTGGAATGTTCTTTAAAAACTTGATAGAGATAAATGACAAGCCCTGCTTACCAAAATAACCAACAACGACACACTGGCCATGGTCTCTCCTAGATCTCTCTTGCACGGCGCCTCCCAGACGAATGATGAAAACGACCCTGGGTCAGCCTGCCGATCGCTTCCTCACATACATCAGCAACACGTGATCGCACCTCGTACGATGTCCCGTCATCACGGTTTTTTCCATTTATGCCCTGCACTCGTGATTTTCCTTTCTTTTATAACACTCATGGAAGATTCCTAATCTTCCACATTACTATTATTGCTATTGTTACTATCGCGGTTACTTTTACTATTACTCTTTCCGTTACTATTGCGGTTACTTTTACTATTACTCTTTCCGTTACTGTTACTATTATTGTTTGTTGCTATTACTATTAGTTACTATTCCGTTTTGTTACTATTACTCTTTCTGTTACTATCACTATTACTAATTCTGTTACTATTACTATTTCTTACTTTTCTCTTTCTCTTACTATTACTATTCCGTTACTATTACTGTTACCGTTATTGTAACTGTTACTTTTACCATTACTGTTACTATTACTATCACTTACTTTTGCTGTTTCTACTACTGCAACCGCTACAACTACTGACAATATTACTAATATATTCATGATCTTGGAAATGATAATGGTAGCGGAGGACGACAGGGGTGAGGGTAAAAGGGATCCTTTCTTCCCCAAACAAAGAAGAAATGAAACAGACAAACAAACAAACAACGCGGTGGGAAGAGGGACAGATTCTCTGTCACCAAACTTCCCCTTCCCCGCCCTCACGCCCTAACCACAGCGCGACCATGGACGACGTAAAAGAGATGCCCCGGTGTTTTTTTTTGTTTTTTTTTTTTTTTGACATGGAGGTCTTATTCTCGTTTCAAAACAAGATTGAACACAAACAAACAAAAGACAGCACAGTGGAGAGAGGGACACAGACTGATTCCTCCCCCTAACCGCCTTTCCCAACCTTCCCTATCCCCTCTCCCTCACCCCCGGTCCTTAACCTCAACCACAACGCGGCCAACGAAAGAGGGACAAAAATAGGTCATCATTAGGGCAGTGGTTTCCAAACTTGGAGTATGTTATGCTGAGGCTGTCTGTGGGTGGTAATGAGGCCCTTTCGAAAGCCTATAAGTCTTTGAAGTAAATTTAGGAATTGTTATTGTGAGCGACACGAGATGGACTTAAGGCGGATTGGGTTTTGGCTTTATTCGCCACAAGGTGAGTGGGTGCAAGCTGGGCTCCTTCTGCCGAGGTATGGAGAATGTCCCCCTTTTTTCAGCGGCTACATCCTGGGCGGTGCTTACTTCCGCAGGCTGGAGTGTCAGGTTTATCAGGCCGTGACAGGGGGGTGAGTCGCTGGGCTTGCTCGAGGGGGGTATGTAGGTCACCAAGTAGGTCTTTAGGTAAACCAGGCTCAGGAGTGGAAGGTGCGAAGTGGCTGCTTCCTGTGATAAGGTGGACTCAGGAGGCGGCGACGGGAAAGCGCAGCCTTTGTTCAGTCGGGGACAGATGTGTGGAGCACCACCTTCCGGATGTTGTTTATTGTTATGATAAATGAACAAAAATGATGGTGATAAAAATACCGAATAATAATTATCATGATGAATAAGGGTAATACTACAATGATCAATAGTAATGATGATTATAATAAATGATGATTGTCATAATTTATAAGTGAATAATGATGATCTATGAAACTGAGAACAGTGGCATCAGTGAAAATCGAATTTCTTGCATCAAGTGAGGACAACCCTGGAGGTAGATTTTCGTAATCAGAATGAATAATTAACTGAACGCTAATATATTATCAAAGGACAGACAACAAGGTTCCTATTGATAATGCAGTAGTTGTGTCTATTTTCTATAATTGACCATCAGACCAGTGAATGGACTTTACTACCATTCTACCACGCCATATAACCCTCAACCACACTTAGCGAACACAATAACGCGCTCAGCCACAATCAGTCACACTCGACCACTCAAGCACATGTATGAGGTACCACACGCACCCTCGTTCGCCGTGTGACCTTCGCCAAGGACGAGTACGGGGGCGATGGCCTTCTCTTCTTACGTCGTACGATGCAAATTCCATCATCGGTGTGTGTGTGGTTATGTATAACTATATATATATAT